AATTACTTAGGTTCAATTTTGGTTGAACATAAGGTTTAGGGTCGTTTAGGTTCAGTATGTGTTAAACCTAAAGCTTAGGGTCACTTAGAATCAATTTGGGTAGAACCTAAAGTTTTAGGTCACTTAGGTTCAATTTGGATAGAACCTAAAGTTTAAGGATACTTATGTTCAATTTAGGTTGAGCCTATGGTTTAGGGCCATTTATGTTCAATTTCGGTTGAACCTAAGGTTTCGGGTCATTTAGGTTCAATTTAGGTAGAACCTAAGATTTAAGGAAGAGAATGGTTGCTCAATCATTAGAAGTAATAGTTAGTTTTTATGATTTCACTTAAATTAAGATTTACATATCATGATTGCACATAATAGTGATAGTAGTTTTTGTATTTCTCCTAAATAAAGTATGCATTTAAACATTAAACCTTTCATAAAATATATCATGAGTAGAGTAGCCTCAAAATTTATTAGGTTTTAAATAAAATGTCATATGAATGGCCAAAATCTTTGATGTTCCATTTACTTTAAACCTTCTAATCTAGGATTTGGTTAAATGTAGTTTATCATATATCCTTTAGAAAATAAAGCCTTAGGATTTCTCAAAGATTAACTTAGGTCTCCCACTCATATCATTGACTACACTAGGAAGCATCAATCTTATTAGAAGAGAAAGAGTGTTAAATAAAATATCAACATTATTTGACATCATCTTCTCTAACAAGTTCTCACATTTCCTATGGGATGAGATATGAATCTGGATTGTAAAGATTCTCTTATAAATTTATTGGTTTGAGGTTGTGGAAGATTTATAAAGTTTGATCTTTATAGTCATTTCAATAGCTAAATTTGATATTGATTCCTAACTTGTGAGTCCAACACTGAGTAGCTCGAGAGCAAAGTCACCTTATCTCTTAATAACAGGACATATTCTGATTTTATACAACATTTTATGGCATATTGACCAAAGGAAAATATGTTGAGATTTTTATACCTATTTTACATTATTTTTGATGATATTGCACTTTAAGGAAATGTATTTTTGATATTTTGTTGCAAGAATGATGAACTAGGGTCATTCGAGCAAAAAGAAGCAAATTTGGAGCGAAAATGACCAAAATGTGAAGATTTGAACTAGGGCGCCGACCGTGAGCCCAACGGCGCCGACGGAGGACTTTTCCCCATACTCCAGATTTAATTAACTTAGAAGGCCCGCCGACGGCGCCCTCGAGGCTGCCGACGGCGAAATCGACGGTTGTGTCCAACAATGCATTGGATGAGGACGAATTTTGGAGGGGTGCTTAGGCAACTCTTAGGAAAACTCATCCAAAACTTCAAAAGAAGATTTTAGCCGAAAATGGAGGAGGTTCTGAAGGCACTAGAGGTCCTGAAAGTTAGAGAGGTTCCATTAGTGTGTAGAGAGTAGTGTAGATAGCCTAATTGTGAGGAATTCTTCGAGAGATTGTAAGAGTGGAGGGAAAGTGAGAGATTTCTTCCTCATTGCCGCTTCGAAGAGGAATTTTGTGTACTGTAAAGAAAGGAAGAGATTCAGAAGAACTTCGAGGAGTTTGCTTGGGGAGAAATTAGAGATAAGTGTTATTTATTTGTTGTAGTTTGTATGACTTTGCTTTTATATATGAATTCCGAGTTTTGTAGTGTTTTCACCATGAGATCTGAGTAGTTTTCTCTGTCTTTCTCCTTGTCTTGAGATTTGTGAAATGATGATTTGAATTGGTTGAGCCATAAAAATGTTAAAGAAATTGTGATGATCTTTTCACTTCGATCTTAATTTAATTTCAATCTGGCAATTGATTTGTTAAAATATGTTGAGTTTTACAACTAAAGTGAAGATTACATATGAGATTCAGGGAGGTCAAAACCCTTAGAAATTGGGTACAAATAAAAAGGGAAATAAAATTATCGGGCATAGAATTGGAGATTTTAGAGTGACAGACTAAAATCCTCAATTCGGTATTATCGTTTGGGTTCTGAAGTGTAGATGTTAGCCCGCAGGCGAGGGAAACGTGGGAGCTCCGAAGTGAGACCCGATATACTCCCAGCCTAGCAGTAGGCACAACACAATTTGAACTGATTCACTTTATCAATTCACTATAATTTCTTGACAAGGAGAAGGAAGCTTTCTTATATATTGAATATCACATTAAAATATTTATTAGTATAATTAGTTATTTAAGAGTTATTAAAATTACATATTTGTTTCAATTATCTATTAGTGAGAGATAAACAATTTGAATTTCATTGTTGCGATTAAGTATTGCTTTTCTAAAATCTTAGTTCATAGTTTCTAATATTACTCCTGTGGGATTGATATCTAGGACTCCATTAGAATCCTATATTACTTGAGCGATACATATACTTGCGTTGATAAGTGTGAATTTATCATTATTGAATATTTTATATATATATATATCTTTATCAAATCTACAATTTTTATTAAGTTTTTGGTGCCGCTGCTGAGGAATTAAACATTTTAGCAACAGTATTAAATATTTGAATTTTTAAACATATATAAAGTCGCTGTCAAGTTTTTGAAAACCCGCTGTCGGCGGCGTCTTTCTGCGACACTCCTCAGTATATATAAATTCGCTGTCAAGTTTTTGAAAACTCCCCGACAATGGCGCCAAAAACTTGGCAGCCATTATTGTTCTATTTTTTTTAATTTTAAGTTTGCTCCTAAGATGTTATTTAAAAAGAAGGGGATTATAAATCATATATAATCGCTACATCTTATGTGTGCTTATTATTCATCTTAATTCATTTATTTTTTTAGTTAAATGTGAAGCCAAAGATAAAGAAGAAGATAAATTACTATAAAACCTGGTTTAAGTCATTTTATATATTTATAGATGAAATATAGAAATAACATGTCAACATGTTATCTTTGAACAAGAGCGTAGGTAAATCATATGCAGTTTTTTTTTTATTAAATTCAATTTTTGCATTTTTGGACGAGCATCGTGCATAAGCTAAATTCTGTTTTTTTTGTCTAAATTTCCCATTTAGTATTTTGGGCTGACCCACATAAAATAAAGAGAAACTGCACCTGGACTGACATTTTTTTATCATTACAATTTGTATGACAACGAATGAGAATTATGTTAGTATGATTTAGGGTTTATGTGAGAGAGTTTTCTGTCTGCTTCGCTTTTCAGATTGCTACCAGAGTTCTGTTTAGAGAATTCTTTTATTGTTGTTTTTAGAGAATTCTGTTAAAATGTGGTGTCTACTAAAAAGTTATGGTTTAACCTTTTTAAAATAAAATAAATATCTAATAGCGAAAACTACTTTTTGAAAAAAATTTTCTTCTGCAACAAGTTTAACTCTGCTTCAACTGCTACAACTACCCAAAACAAATCCTTAGTAAAACCTGTAAGTCCGGGTTTAGTAAATCCTATTGAATCCTATAAAATTGTTTGGCAATTTCTATTAGGTTTTAAAAATCTATTAGGGTTGTTAGACCAACAACAAATCACAGTAGAATTAAGTAAATCTTATAAATTCAACTTCTTAAAACATTCCAAAATAATCAAAATTTGCTAGATTCTTAAATTCAATTAATATTTAATTTTAAATTATGATAACTAAAAAATATATATTTACTAAACTAATTAGTTATTAATAAAAATTTTATTAAATTAAGTTTTAATTAAAAGTTTAACATTTATAAAAGAATAATCAATTTACTATTAATTATATTAATTAATAATTATTTATAAATTCATTTAACGAAGAAAAACTAATATCTATATTTTTACCGAATAATAATTAAATACTGTTTCATCCAAAGTCAACATCTCCGTGATTGGACGCTCAAGATACAATCGCAAATATAACAGCTGAGAACAGAACATTGGGATTAGGGCTTATAAAGACCCGATGCTCCCGCTCCTCTCCTACTTGAAACCATTGAGAAAGGCGACTACACATCTCTTTCGTGCGAGGCATCCATCCATCCCTGATTTATTAAATCCACCGATTCATGAGATTTAATAAATATGAGATTTAAAGCCAAAATTTGTGAAATCCAGATTTATGAAATCCGAAACTTTATTTTGACCAAAAGGAATAACTTGCAAGATTTAGGTTAAATCCAGCATAAATCCCACTCAAAATCCGTTGTCCGAGAGGCTCTTTACAGGTGTTCCACAATTTTACAATTCTTACCAAAAAAATGACAACTCTTGGTTTTATAATAAAATACATTTAAATTGTTTAATATTTAGCTGGACCATTTGCAATGCTGCTCTCGCTTTTTGAGGACAAATTTGATGTTTTAGTTTAGAAAAGTTTGCATGCTCGATTCCTGCACTTACAAATATAACACCTAAACTTTGATTTTTACTTATACATATACATATATACAAATTCTTATGTTAAATGAAAGATGTTGAGAGGAATAAATATAAAAATAAAATTTGGACGTTAAATATATAAATATTGCAATTGAGTCACATCCATGTTGTTGTGAAAAACGATAAAATAAAAAATAGAATGAGAAAAATTACACGCAGCGACACAGATTTACGTGATTCAACAAATTTGCCTACGTCCACGGAGCTGCAAACAATCTTTTTAGAAGAATTATACCGTCGAGCGCCTCGACGTTTACAAGAAAATCTCTATTTTCTTCTCTCCCTTCCTCTCTTTCTCTTTCTCACTTTCTCTCTTAGCTTTCAAGAGGACTTGACTTAATCTTGCTTGACTTGTGGCTTAACTTATGACAAATCATAAGAGGCTATTTGTAGAAACTATGAGTGTTATGTGAAAGGTAGGTGAGCAATAGGTGGGTGTAGTAGGTGAGCAGTAAATGGAAAAGTAGGTGAGCAGTAGGTTGAATTCTTAATTAGAAAGCTTATTATTTTTTTACGAGTCATTTTCTAAAAAAAAATAATAATAAATAAAACGTAAGAAATAAAATTAAAAAAAAAAAATTATTTCAACAAAAACTGATTGAAAACAAAATAAAAATTAAAATAAAAAATGCACGTTAGCTTCACAAGGCCAACTTCTGAAAACATTTGATCTGGGCAAACTAGCCAACCAAGCAACGGCTCAGTAAAAAATCACCATCAACTTCTGACCGCACGTGCATGCTCCAGCTGCACTGCTATAAATAGTGAAAATTTTACTTGGGGCTTTTTTCCGTAATCTGACCTTTTTGTTGATTCACATTCCTAGCAAAATGCTTAAAAACGCTACACATCTGCAGAAATCAAGAGGAATATTTCATGCATCAGCATATACAACATTTTCCTAATCGTCAAAGCAATAAATTTCTTCTGCAAATGTGTTACAAACAGGCAAACAAAAGCCTGAAAACTCGGATCTCGAACCATCAGCACATTGGTGGCCTCCTTCCTGAAAAATAGAGAGTTCAGCATCATCATATGATCAAAAAATAAACCAAGAAGCAAACTCAGATTGCAATAAAATGATCAAATGCTAATGAAGAGAATAAGAAATGCCAAGGACAGGAGGAAATAATATGTTATAAAGATTGCCACCGTATTTCACATAATTCAAAGACAGTTCCTCAGTTTTAAAGAAATCATATCTTGGCTCTCAATCTCAGAACAAGATTAACAAAAAAGTAGAAAATGTATTCATAAATTAAAATATAATGGGGCATTTACATAAATGCCACACAATTCTATGTATTTATGAAATTAACACCTACCATTTACATAAATGCCACACAATTCTATGTATTTATATAATTAACACCTAAACTTTCATATTTACAGACAACACTCAACTTTAATATCACATGAAAAATACCACTATCACTAACTTTTACAGACACAACACTCAAATCTTTAATATCACATGAAAAATGCCACTATCACTAACATCTAAAATTGAAATAAACTTTTTCATGCATAGGTATTGATACTAAGATCTTATAAATGTGTAAATAACAAACTTCAGCTGTAAAATAAGTATATGAATAAGAAAATATGTGGTATGTATAAAAATTTCTCAAATATAAAATAATCAACATAAGAAATATATAGTTTTTGGATTTTATCAACTAATCAACTTCTATGAATAAAGGTTCAAGCAATTCCAAATATATAACATCTAGGTTGCAAGAATTACGTTGCTATACTACTTAATGAAATATAAAATGGTTTCATAGAAGCATCAAGTAGAAAGGAAGTTCCATCAAAATTCTTATAACTAGAAGTAACAAATAAAAAAAAAAAAAACAAAACACTAGTTCTAAAGAAAATTAACTTCAACTGTATACTTCTCACTCAGTTATCTTGCCAGATTAGATATTTAGATTATATGACATGCTTTCTTATGTCCCACAGCCTTAAAAGTTACTACTTTTCACCATAGAGTAATGAGTGCGTTAAAAGAAAAATAATAATAATAAGAAGAAGTTTCACATATTCTCAAAGTTTAGGGTTTAGAATCATGCAAATAAAGGAAACTTACCTTGAGACATTACGAGCCTATCAAAACTGGTAGCGAGGGTATACATAACCACAAGGGCCACAATCCTAGATGCAAAATAATTCAGTAGTTCATGTTCATCATAAAATATTATCTCCTGAAGCGCCTTGTTCTTCCTCGCAAAGGAAACAAAGACCCACCACCACCAAGATGTTTATTAATCTGGTCTGTCTCATCTTCATCGGACTCGTCAGATCTCCATCTTGAGCCCACTTTTGTCGACAACTGTTCGGTAGGAGAACCTCTTTCTTTGGAACTACAATACGTAATACAAAAATATCAACAAATTTAAAAAGGATACCCAGGTGACAATGAATCGTAACTAGAAGAATATGACTATTTTAGCATGTTTTTTTAAATATTAGAAAATGAGAAAAAATTTTAAAAGAAAATGTCTATTTTATTTTGATAGGAGCTATCTAGTAGAAAGAAAATAAAAAAGGAAATTTTTCTTCAAAAACCAAGCTTTTCTTCTCCCAAATTAAAGGAGTGAAGACAAAAATATCTCAATTAATGAACTTATACTAAAACTAACTTTACATTGACAAAATAATTAAATTTAATGCTCTCTTAATCCCCATGTCTTCCAAAACCTAAGATACCATTCTAGCAATTCCTCTCTATGATAACAGCGCTATTGTTAAGGCTTTCAGAGTTTAGGACACTTGAATATGACATTCCAGTCAAAAACTAGTATCTTTGAATATACTGCTGGAGGAAATAAGATTTTATATTTTATTTTAAAAAGGAGCCAAGGAGATGAAGTTTGAAAGGCCTGAAACAAAGCTTGATTTTCTAGCTTTCAAGACAATAAATATTCTCTTAGTTCTAAATACCTAACAGAACTTGTTCCAACAATCATCAATCCAGATGTATGAAATGATTTATCATGCAGGACACTCCTTCCGCAATAATTGATACGCTATAGTTAATAATATATACTTCTATTCATGTATATCTTGTGTGTAACACTGCATGAAGCGACGCTAAGCAATATTTTTCTTTCCTCTAATTCGACTCCCAATAAAATAGAGGGGAGATAATATTCATCGACTCTCTTAAGCTCCCAACAAAAAGCATATAACCTAAAACATTCCATTTCTCATCTCATGACTAGCCCTTTTTTCTTCCCCAGACCCTCCCAGAGTATCAGAGAAAAAATAGGAAAGTAAAACTGTCGTTTCTTTGCAGACTATTACGCAAGTGTTTTAAGAACCAAAATACATACTGCAGGTCCAGCATAAAGTTCTAAATTAAAATACTCATCTTACATTGCCCTAAACAAAGAAAGGTTAAAATCAAGTAATGTACCTCAAAACATGAGTTGATTTGTTGAAGTTGATCATGTTCCAAGGACCATCTAAGTGGTTCTGCTTCCCTGATCTTTTGTGGGGCTGGCCGTCAATAGCATCTTTCAGATAATTGGGGTCAACAGAATCAATGTAATCCTGCGAAGTTATTTTGGTTGAAAGCACCCTGGAATTTTCAGCACGCCTTACGGAATCATAAGACCTTATTGCATGGGAACCATTATTCCCCTCGAATGATTTGCCAAACAAAGACACTTGTAAAGGACTTGTGTTCAGCTCATTCAGGGGTAAAGGGAAAGAACCCTTTTGAGAACTTCCAAAGGAAGTTAAATGCCTTTGTTGAACAGCAGAAGGCGCCCTCTTGGAAATATCGATGTGAAAATTGTCAGCATTGTCATATAGCTTAAGTGGTGCTTCTACTGAAGCCTTTTCTGATGGAAAATTACTCACATCTGTATGAAGAACAATAGATGCTGAGGTCCTACTTCGAGTTGAAATATTAACAGGATCCAGTTGCACTTTAGAAGCAGACTCCATATCAATTTTGATATCCTGACTGAAGGATGAGTCATTTTGAGCAGTGCATCCATTCATTAATTGTTTGAGTTGAATCTCAGGAAGCAGATATAGGCCTTTCTCTACTAAAGCAGATCTCCAAAGGGATATTGATTTCATTTCACATGCAACACCCCCTTCCAAAGATTCTAAGCATTTCTGCTCCAAACTTAGGAGCTTGTGATGTACCTGAAAAGCTTCAATGTATCTATATCGCTGCAGATAGAAAACGGTAAGAAGGCTACCAGAAATAGATCGAGGACTTTGATAGGCATGCTCAAGGAGACATTTGTGGATATACTTCTCTTCAGTAGAATCCCAAGGTAATTCAATCATTCTATCTGTAAGGTTCCTTCGCATGCAAAGAATGCACATTTCAATCACCAATATTTCCATTTGGCGCATCCATGAATCAGGCTTTAAATTGTTGGAAGTAGAAAGATCTTTATATCCTGATGTGAACTCCTTCAAGTTATGGCAGTACATTCTTTGGAACATAAAGGCTTCTGTCAAAAGCCCGCATTCAATTCTAACACGAAGAACAGTCACTGCTTCATCAAGTGACTCAATCTTCCCAACATCATCCTTGGAACCATCATATCTGCTGAAGCCATCACGGCCAGTACACCGTAAAACAGTCAGCGCAAAATCAGGGCATTGGCGTTCTAATAAAACTTGTGCTATCTTGGGATGTGTGCCTGGGCCGGCAATTTCTGGAAGAAGAGCACAAGCTTCCTACAATATTCATAGTTGCAGGTATTAGCATGAAATATGTTTATTAAGCTTCAAAAAGCATGCCAAAGTTTCTTATAAATTCATCACATCCATTTCAGTGGTCAGGCTTAATTGTTGTGTCAATTTAACCTCTTGAGTAGGCATTAGTAGAAACACTGACATGACAAACATTGATATATGGCTATAAATCATAGTAAAGTTATCCATCTATACCTTCTGTTGGTACTACACTCGTTTATGAAACCTAGTCATTAGTTAAGATAGCTAATAACTGGATGGTCAGCACAGCATTTGAAGAAAATAATGTAATCAGTTCTAAAAGGATGTATATTCTTTTAAACTCTACATGGCCGTTCAAATAGTTGTGGCAAGATTAATTATATAAGCGATGATGATAATAATTTACACGATTTGTTAATAACAAAGAAAAAGTTTTATCCGCCATATCTCAAATACCACATCTAAATTTTTTGCAATTAGAAAAGATAGGTTTGATATTTTGACCCTATCTACAACATAAATACCATCTAAAGGGAAGCAACACTTCTGCATAATCGAGCATCCTAGATTATAAATCTATAATAGTACACTGCATCTTCTAATGTTATTGAAAAATCACATAAAGGTAGCATAGAAATGCATCTTCTTCAGCGTTGCATCTATCTCTGGATCATCTCCGGTCTTGCATGGGGAGAACATGCCTTATTTGATTTCTTGCACCTGCTGCCAGCCAACTTCATCCAAGCCTTGGGACTTTATTTCGTTGTCTCCAAAACCTTTAACACGTTCATGTAACAAAGATGGAACACAAAAGATGTACACCTCAGTGACGACATCTCCAGCACGTCATTAGCAATCCTTCATCTGCAAAGGGGCTCCATGTCCTTGATCAACACTCTATCCTTAAGCCCTCATGATTTTTATTCTTGGAAGACCATGCAAAATAGTTTTCCAATGAAAAAATACTGAGAATCAAGAAACTAGAGTAGGAGAGAAAAAAATCTTTAGTTTAAAAAAAAATGCTTGTGTTGCAACATAGAGAAGGGGATGTATTTATAGCCACACATCTCATGATATTTATGCAAAAAAAGTATAATACAAATACCCCAAGCGGAAGAAACAATGAAAACCTTAGCATAGATAAAATTTGCTCAATCTTTTCATTATTATAGCGGCCCGAATTTGCATTGGCTCTGGAATAATTTAGTGAAGCCTTCTTGTTTTTTCTTCTGTTTGAGACTTCTTCACAAAATTATTCCTATTTATAGTATTTAAAATATAAAGGTATCAAACTGGTTTCTAGATGCTATCTTTGTAATATGCAGGAAGAAGAGCTTGAGCACTTGTTTTGCAATTGTTGTTATACCAGAAAAATTTGGCTTCTTCTTGTTCTTTCCCTTTTAAATGTTCGGTGGAATTGGAACTCTGTGCATTCTATTAGTGATTTGTTTCAATTTTGGTGAAGAAAAGGTGGTCATTTTTATGTCGTTGTGCCTATCATTGTTACTTGGTTTATTTGGACTCTTAGGAATGATATCAAGCATTTTGAAAAGGTCATTCCTGAACTTACTTGTTTTAATTACATTAAAAATTATATTGGTAAAATTATTAGATTTGGTAAGTTCAAATTTCCTATTAGCTTGGAGTTGGTGAATTTGTTTCATTTGTTCCGGGTGCCTATTGAAAATACTGTCAAGAAGTAAGAGATTTTTGTTACTCGGCATAAACCAAATGATGATTTATTAAGATTAATATTGATGGGAGTTGGAAGCAGGTGTTTTTTTATTTTAGTTCTTCGGGTGTTGGTGGAGTATGTATGAATCAGTTTGGACACTGTATTTGCTGGTTTTTTGCACCTTCTCTTGCTACTAATCCTATGGTTAAGGCTGATGTTGTTTTAACTGCTTTGCGGTTATCTCTTTGTTGTGGTTGGCACAGTGCCATTATTGAGATGAATTCTTTGGTTCTTTGGAATATTTGTAAGAAACACAAGGAGTATCCTTGGTATATTCACAGATTTATTAAGCATATCTTTGCTCTTCAGAATGTTTTGCAGGTTCAGTGCACTTTTATCCATCGTGAGGGGAATAAATGTGTTAATTGGGCGGCGAGGCTTGGTTTGGTTTTGCAGAGAATTGATGTCTCTAGCATCATTCTGGAGGAGCTCTCTCAGCTGCTACACGGTGATTGCTTGGATATTCCTTATATTCGTTTTTGTAAATGAGGGGTGGTGTGTCTTTTCTTGATTTGTGTGAGCTGTACTTGGCTTTAGGTTCCTTGGTTGTTTTTCTTATTGCTTTTGTGTGAGTTGTTTGTGGTGAGGCGGTGTATCGAGAAACCTTTAGCCTTTTCTTGTAAATTCTTTTTTTGATGGAATAAATGTGGAGCCGAATAATGCTCTTTATAAAAAAAAATAAAAAAAAAACTAATACAAAATCCTCATCTTAGTTCTTTATTCCACAAAGATCAAAGAAAACAACATCAAGGCATCTCTCTTATTATCCTCAACAACTTCAAGCATCACTGAAGTTTCGAGGAAGCCAAAGTCTTTGCTGACATATCTATTGCATTTTCATCAAATAAAATCTTTATAATTTCCATAATACCATTTGCAAATACTTTCTTAAAGCAATGGAATTTCACATCAATGCTTAGTTCTTTCAAAGAAATGTAATCTATGGTGAGGTACACTATATTTAAATTGTCATAAAATAAAGGCATCGACTACATAAACATTTCAAAACTCAATCCTTTAAACCGTAAGTCACTTGAGCTTTAGATGCATCAATGTATTTAGCTACAACTGTGGATTAAGCTTCAATGGGTGACAAATTAACCTTCCAACTAATAGTAATTCTAGATGCCTTAAACAAAATGCGTACTAGGGATCTTCGAATACCAAACTAACTTACAAAATCAGATTCTACATATCTAATAATTACACTAGATACAAACACAATTTTCATGTATTAATCCCAATGCCATGGTATCATTTAAATACCTTAAAACCTATTTTTCAGCTTCGCGATGATGAATCCCAAGATCGACCATGAATCTAGTTATATTTATAACACTAAGTGAGTAAAGGCGAGTTTGGCCTGCAGCAAATCACAACATATAGGATATTAACCAAAATATTTTCATAGGAAAGGTTCTTTATATAAGATGTACATAAGAAAGAATAGATGCTTGTTCATACCTTCATTGTGCTTGAATCACTGGACTACATAGGTCCCTAGCCAAACCAAATATTATTCTTTGTATCTCTTCTATGATTGCAGTCTAGGCGATTCTCACTTTATCTTGGTTAATTTTTAATCATGGTTTTCTAGAATTTAAAGATTATGCTCCATCTCGAGTTATAGTTTCTATTTTGCATCAAATGTCATGCTTTGAGCCACAGCTCTTGGAACTAAATATACCATTTGTTGCTCGTTGAAGACAACATCGCTGCTGATCAAACATTAAAGATGATCTAATACTTATCATCACAACTTATACTCTTTTACATTTCCATGATATCCAATGAAAAAACATTTCACATTTGATTTTAATTTGTCCTGCATTTTGTGAACAAACAAATATTTTTAGCCCATTGTAGTCTCCTAGTTTTCACTCCACCTTTCTTGCAGGGTATTAAAATATATCGCTAATGACAATTTATTAAATAGTAAGCCATACTGACTAGCTTTGCCAAAAATGACTTTTGTAAACTTGCACCATTCAGCATGCATCTTATCCTTTCATGGTTCTATTATAGCATTGAACCAACTGATCTTTCTAAGGTGCTAGCCTTACTATAAGAAGTCGTTGATACCGGAGTTAGCTCAAACACAAAAGAAATGCAAATATTATTACTGAAATTCACAACGGTTACAAATAAGACTCTTGCAAACAGAAATTAACGACAATAAACACAATTACACTAGGTCATAACAACAAAAGACACAACACAGACCACAGACAAGGGCTAGGGTGAAGGTGGTGGTTGGATGCTAGAAAGGAGGGGCTGGTTGAGATGAGTACGGTAGCAGGTGGGAGAAGTAGTGTATACTGAAGGAGGGGCAGCAGGAAAACTGAGCGAGGGAATGAAGGTGGCTGCAGGGAAACCTGGGCTTTGCTGGTAGAAGGGTGGCTGCAGGGAAACCTGGGTTTTGCTGGTAGAAGGGTGGCTGCAAGGAAGGGAAGGCTAGTAGAGGGGTGTACGACTATGGGGGAAAGCTGGTAGGAGGCTGTTACAGTAGTGGGTAGGGTTGTCAGGATGTGAGGGCAGTGGAAAAGGGTGACAGGCAGAGAGCTGTTACAGTAGTGGAGAGGAAGAGTCGCCGGTGTGATACTCATAACCAAAAAAGGGAAGCCGTTCGAGGAGAACCGGCAAACAGTGCAGCAGGATTGGCGGCAGGAGCAAGCATGCGGGAAAACCAACTGGTGGATGGCAGCGGGAAAGGAGACTCCAAGAAACAGTCCAGGTGGGCTGTCAAGCGGCTGCAGCGGGAAGGACGGTGTTAGTAGAGGAAGGGTTGTTGCAGAAGGGGGGTCGAGGATAACCACCACCTCGGAGCGAGATACAGCAAGAGCACCACTCATCCTCAGATACTGCCTTAAAAAGGAAGAGGAGATGTTGACGGCTGTCCCTTAAAGAAATCTGAAGTCAAACTCAAAAAAACATAACCCAAAAACATAGAAACAATATATAAATAGAAGATGGATAGGTGGGAAACGAATACAGGAAGGGGGGAATAATTCCCACAATAAAAATTGAGAGAGGGGGCCAGTTCAGCCTCCTGTTGGACTGAGCCCTCTCTAGCTGAACCAGTTGGGAGCCGGCTAAGCCCCCAAGCCCCGCGTCAGTCATGCTATTCTACCCCTTGAGGCACCGTTCAAATCCCTTTGAGCTCAAAAGTTTTGTCAATTTTTAGTTTTTGAACTTCTTTCTAGCTTAAATTTCTAATATAGTATTTTATTCTTTGAACTTTTCAAAGGCTTTATTTTCCTATTAC